CGGCCATCCCTACACCCCATCTCCTCCCGCTCCTTTTGGGAAACAGTTCCCTGTGTGGTCCAGGGAGACAGCCACTTTAAGTGTGCCGTCTGCACCTGGGGCCGGTTCCAATCTGGGGACTTGGTGGCACGTCTTCCCACTTCTCTCCCTACAGCTGAGCACCTGGAAGACGGGGCTGGTGGTCCTTACTGTCGTGGCCAAAGGCAATGGCCCCTTTAGCACCCAGGTGGCCAGGAGGTCTGTTTCCACCCTCAGCTGCAGCTCAAACTCAGGAACCCCCAGGGAAAGGCTGCTGGGCCCCACACAGGGTGCCCCCTTGGACGCTCATTCGGGGGAGAGGCAGGTACCCCTGGTGCAGGCCACTTGGATTTCAAGGTGCCCTTTGGGTGGGCCACCCCATCTTCTTCAATAGCCTTCTGGGGAAGGTGTACCTCCTTAGGTCAAAACGCCCGCCTTTCCATCCCTGAGGGCCAGCCATGAAGCCCCAACCCCCGACTGTGGGTGTGGAGGCTGGGGGCCCACCCCTCAGCTGGGACCACCACTGTTTTGTGCCCAGACATCTGCAGCAGTCTTTGAACCGGCCTCCCTGTCCATCCACCCCTTCTTTACATGGCTGTCCATCTAGTCACACTGCACCCCAGCTGCAGCCATCTCAGTGGCTCCCCACACTGGGGTGGGGGGGAGCCCACATCCAGAAGGTAGTGTTCGAAGCCTCTGTGCTCTGGCCCCCACATCTCTCCCACCCTAAGCTCCTGCCTCATGGCCCTTTGGGGCATTCCGTGTGTGGCACTGGTCCTCATCTGTGAGCCCCCATAAGTGCTGCCCTCCCCTGCGGGAAGACCCTTCCCCAGGCCCAGAGGCTGTCCCATTTGATAGCGGGACAGGCTGCATCATCCAAGTGCCGCATTGCTCCAGCCCCAAGGTGGCCCCTCTGTGACTCCCAAAAGGAACACTCTACAGAGCCTCTGTGTGGGTGTGGGTTCCACGAGGGGGCGGGGGCTTTGTGTTCCATCCTGTAAGAGTGGCCCAGACCCAGGGGCCTCCGGGATTTATGTCTTGAGCCAGGCCTGCGGGGGAGTTTAGATGTGGACCCCCAGATTCCGTGTGCCTGAGGGAGGGAGGTGACAAGCCGCACAACCAGTCCCCATCCCTTGTCAGCGGGTTCCTGTACCCACCCCTGCTTCACACACATTCTGGGCCCTGGAATGTGGGGCGTGATGCGGCAACCTCCACTCTCCCAGTCAGAACGGGTGGACTCCCCACAGGCCTGTGATAAGTACGGCCATGACTCTCTGAACTCTGACCCCTAACTCCGGTGAGGGGCCCGCAGCTGACAGGACCTGAGACAAAGGCCTGGGTCCCCGGAAGTCACACCTCCACTGACGGGTCTCACTGCTCACATAGGATGTGGCTTTGTTTTAAAGGAGGGGACCTGCTAGAGCCTCACCTCTCACCCACCCTTTCTTTTCTCAGTCTCAGCTCTGAACCTCCGCTCCCACAAGCACACGCTCACACTCACACGCACACATACACACACACTGCCCCCACACATACCTATACCTTCTGATACCTGTGCAGACTACCCCACACACCTCCCTGCACACACCCTGCACCGCATGCCCCACACATATGCAACAGCCTGCACACCCACCCACATATCCACACCCCATGCCCACACACATATGTACACATACCTGCACACTCATCCACCCACGTATCTACACTCCCGTACCTATACAAACAGCCCCACATGGCTATATACAACAACATGAACACATTCCCTATGTCCCCATACATACATTCAAGCACATACACAAATCTACACACCTGTACACACACAGCTATATGCTTTTACACAAACCCACATTCACATGCACACCTGCACACATATTTACACACACACTCTTATAAAAGCACATGTACACATATCTCATGCTAGTGCATATGCACATACACACATCTGTACACATATTCACACAGATATACACCTACACACCAGTTGTAAACATTCATACCTGTACATACTCCCACATATACACACCTGTACATGCACTCATACATATGCATACCTACCACGTGGCTCACAGACTTCTTTTCATTTCCTCTTTCCTAACTGCTAAAAATAAAAATGGCCTAATTTTTTGAAACTGATTATAGTAGCAAGTGTGCATTCTACTTGATGCAATTGAAATTTGGAGTGATAGATGTATGAAATCCCAACTAATAATAATTTTAAAAGTAGTCTGTTGTGCTTACAAAACTTGGGGTGAGCGTGCAGTTGGCAAACACCATAAAAGCAGTTTTCTTTTTAATGGCCTAATTTAGATTTTCCTTCTACATAATCCCCAACACGGAGCCCTGGTGACATAGTGCTTACACATTGTCCTGCTAACCACAAGATCAGCAGTTCAAATCCACCAGCCGATCCCAGGGAGAACGAT